TTCTAGGTGCCCAGCATTTAGTTAATATTACTACCTCAACTCTTTTGAGTCTGTTTCACTATATAGACTTGTATTACACTTGCAACATACAGCCTTTCGTACCAGTCCAAACATCTGAAATATCTCCTCACTGCTTCGATTATATGATATTGTTCTGAAATCCTATTAAGGACAGTCTCTCAATGCAGTCATGCCCAAGCTGTGCTGATGCCCCTTATTCAAGAAAGAGGCACATCAGACTTTTTGAAAGGGTGCTGCTATGTAAATAGATGCTTATCTCAGGGAATTCAGCTTTGTGTAATGAATATTTCCTGATTTGTTTTTATTTATTTTTCTGGTTCATTTTTTTCCTGGTTTGCTTGTGTTTATTTAAACTTTTATTTACTAGAAATTACAGATGCAAATGTATTTAGAAAGAAATAATAGAGATTATGTGTTTGGTTTTGGTTTGTGTTTGGTTTGTGTTTTTCAAGGAATTGTCCATTTCATCTAACTGGTCAAAATTATGTGTGTGGACTTGTTCACTGTACTTCCTTATTATCCTTTTGATGTCTGCAGGGTCTGTAGTGATATCTCATGTTTCATTCATGACATTTGTCATTTGTATCTTCTCTCTTTTTTCTTCAGTCTTGCTAGAGGTTTGTCAGCTTTACTAATCTTTTAGAAGAATTATCTCTTTTTTATATTGACTTTTTTCTATTTTATGTTTTCTATTTCATTGATTTCTGCATTATAGTTATAATTTTCTTCTTTCTGCTTGCTTTCAATTTGTTCTAATTTTTTTGTTGTTGTTAGGTTCTTGAAGGGGGAGCCCATTGTATTTACCTATATTTTTTACTTGCTATGTTCTTTCTTTCTTCTTCATGTTCCAGGATTCTTTCTTTTATCATAGCCTTACTGTTTAAAGAACTTCCTTTATCCATTATTGTAGGGTACATCTGCGGGCAACAGATTTCCTCTTTTCCTTCATTTGAGAATGTCATGATTTCCACTTCATTCCTAAAAAAATGCTTGTGCTGGGCATGATTCTTGGTTAATAGTTCTCTTCTTTTAATTTTTGACAAATAGTGTGCCACTTCTTTCTACTACTACTACTACTACTATGTTTCTAATTGTTTTTACCCTGTAGGGTAAGGTATTGTTTTCTCATTCAATTTTTTTTCTTTGTCTTTAATGTTCTGAAGTATAACTATGATGTTTCTTGGAATAGAATTCTTTGGCTTTACCCTGTTTATGGTTTGCTCAGTTTCTTCAGTCTGTAGGTTTATCTCTTGCTAAATCCAGGAAGTTATCAGCCACTATCTCTGTGTACTTTTTCACGCCCAGCCTCTTTCTTCTCTCCTCCTGGGATTCTCATCACAGGAATGTTAAATCTATTGTTATAATCTCACAGGTCCCTGACACTATTTATTTTTTTTTCAGTCTTCTTTGTCTCTGTTGTTGAGATTGAGTATCTTTCATTGTTCTATCTCCAAGTTCACTGATTCTTCCCTTTGCCCCTTGCATTATGCTGTTGAGCCCATCCACAGGAGGTTTTATTTTGATTATTGTATTTTTCAGTTCTAAAAATCGCAACTGATTCTTTTTTATACTTTCTATTTCTTTGCCAAAACTTTGTATTTCCTTGCTGAAGCTTTTTTAAAAAAAGTATTTCAAGAATTATTGTATTTGCTTGTTGAAGCTTTTTATCATGACTATCTTAATATCTTTTTTAGGTAATTCTAAAATCTTTGTCCTCTAGGTATTGACATTTATTGATTGTCTCTTTTTATTCAGTTAGAGATCTTCCTGGTTCTCGGTATAACCATTGATTTTCTATTAAAATATGGACATTTTAGTTGTATTTAAGTAGAAGAAAAGGAGAAAGTACAACTACTCCATCTTTTCAGAAGTGGAATTCCATAATTCTAAATATCTTTTAAAGCAGATATTTTATATATTTTTCTCTTTTAGGAAGAAATACTTATTATAATAAAGTCGTTTATCGGGAATAACTATATATATATATATATACACACACATATATATATGTATCTTCAGATTCAGAGTCGTGATTTATAAAATGTATGTGAATAATTTTTTTAAAAGTACATTAATTAATCCCACATTTCCTCACATGACACTGAAAGAATTCTGGAAAAAGTTATATATTTATTTCATATGTACAAAGTTATTATTTTGTAGTATCTTTCTGTCATAGCTTAGTTTTTTCTGAATTCTTTTTCTAATATTCTTGTAGGCATAGATCTAAGCAAAAATGCATAGGTATATATGTTTATATTATTTATATATACATAATTTTTATTATAACCAAATACTAGTGTCAACATAATTTTATCATTTCATTCTACTCTAATTTTCACATGCTCCTTAGTAACTAAAAACTTAGGATGTTTGTAAGTGTTGCTGAATAAATGTTAAGCTACTCTATTTTAATCTCTTTATTTGAACAACCATTGTATCAGTCTCATTAAGTATGTTTTAGGTTGCACAATTTATTTTAAGGAGAGGAAAATTTATGGCATTTTTGAATTTCAATGTCAGTGTTTAGAGAGGATGCCTATTTGTGTCCTTGAAATTTAAAAATAAGCATAACTGCTCATATCAGATTTTTCTAGTTAGGATATCTTCTAGGGAGAGATCCTTTTGGGATTATTTTTAATAGCCATTTCTGTGATTTTTCGTATGTTTGTTTTGTGTCCTATACCATTTTTTTTGTAGGCATAATACTAGTAATATAATTGTGAAATGGAAAATAGACGTGATTCAACTAGTTATGGTAGACTGGAATATTAAAAGTTATCTATATTCTTTCCTAATTAAATAATTGTCCACATGGTGAAGGTTTTTTTCTTCTTCTTCTGATTTTAAAAACACTGCTACTGCATTTTTTAAATTCAGTGTTATAAGCGGTAGCATTTCTCACATTAAAGTGTCACAGTGCCTCAGGGGAAGAAATGATACTTCTCAGATTCCTATTGGGAACTCTTGCTCTTTTGAATTCTCATCTGTGTCTCAGAATCTCAGAACTGGAAGGAATCTCAGAGGTGATCTTATGCCTAACTTATATGTGAGTGTGGTGACTCAATCTGTCTGTATTAAATCTTGTATACTTTGGGGAAGAAATACTAAGTCTACCTCCTCATACAGATATCATTAACTAGATAATAACCTATGCAGAACTCTCATGGCCAATGGCACAATTTTTAAAAAATATTTATAAACTAATGTTATGATTTTAATATTTTCATGGTCTCTTTCATTAGTTCGTATAGCTGAGACATGTTCTTTTTTAGCTTTAGTATACAGAAAGTGTAAATATATTGCCAGTAATGTAAATAAGCCTAATTTAATCCACATAATAAACATTTCCATGTTAACTATTATAGGCTTTAAACAACTCCTTGTTTCTCACAGGTTGAATTAGAAACTTTTTATTATATATACAAAACACTTTTTGAAATGCCCACTTCCTTCTCTCTCATTCTTCTGCAGTTTCATGGAAATTCCTAAAATCCTTAACCAGATCATGCTCTATGATATCTCCACGACTATATGCAATTTGTTCCTTTAGTCTAGAATGCTCTTTATGTGCATGGCATTCTCCATTTAGCTCATGTCCCCTAGTCAGCCTTTTCTGACCATTTCATCCTGTGTGGAACTGAGCTATCCCCCTTTTGCCTGTACCGTACTTGACCCATGAAGATTTTCTATCATAGTACCTAGAACTCAATTCATTGCCGATATGTAATTAGATGACCATGAATTTCTTGAAGGCAGAACTTATTGTTGAATCTCTCCTCCCTTTAAAAAAAAAAAAAAATGCTCCAGAGCTAATGGCTTCACATAGTCCATAGCCATAGCATGAAGAAGATTAATGTTGTTTTTGCTTAGCATTCTATAGGTATAAGTTGAGAAGACTTTCATCGTCTCTCCCCACTTTTAAGGAGGACTTTTAAAAATCCAGAGAAGCCCGGACCACTTTATTATTTAAGGCACACAGATTTATTGAAAGAAATAGAGTAACAAAAATGTCTTTTTTTTTCAATCCATGCATTTAATTTCTGTGACTGTGTATTGGTAAGAAGTCTAATTTTATTTGGAAATCATACAAAAATCTTAATTAGGAACTTTTGTTCCACAAACCTCTCTCTACCTGATGGCTTTGTTGATTGGCCCACCTCCTCAGATACAGTTCTCTATGTCTCAAGTCAAATTGGTCACAGTTAATAGCTCACAAAATACAATTTTAAAAGAATGGTGGGTCTGTAATGGGTTTGCCACCGGTAGTATGAGTCTACATGGCTCATCCGAAAATGCTCAGTTTAGGGAAATAGAGTAGACATATAGTTATTCTATAGCTGGGGGCAGGGGGAGACCAAGATGAATATTCTCCCTCATTTTAACACAGGAATGAAATAATCAATTTAAAACTGTACCATTTCTGATCTTTAAGTTGAAAAACCAGACTCATCATTTTATTACCTCATTTATTAAAGTGTAACATGTATTTTAACAGAATTTATTTTTTAAACAAATTCCAGTGTTATCATTGATCTGCTGTAATACTTTGTTAAAATTAGTAAATATTTAAATAAAGTTATTCACCCAGACACAAAATCTTTTATTTATTGCATCTATTTTTCTGTTGTTTTAATAACTGACTTTTAGGGGCACCTGGGTGACTCAGTTGGTTAAGCATCTGTCTCCAGCTCAGGTCATGATCCCTGGGTCCTGCTCAGTGGGGAGTCTGCTTCTCCTGCTCTCTCTGCTCCTCCCTCAGCTCATGCTCTCTCTCTCACTCTGTCAAATAAATAAATAATTTAAAAAAGAGTTTTAGTCAAGCCCTTAATGTTTTGTACTTTTCAAAAGAGGTGTCGGTCTTATTAGAAATATTAACCAGTATTTACTCCAGCTAATAATTTTTATTATGTTGCACTAAGATGAGTTTCTATGTAAATAATTGAACTAAGAGAAGTTTCCTTTTCATTTGAAAACAGAAAGACATTGATGAACTTGATGATATTCTTACATCCATATTCAAACGTGAGATACCATATTATGAGTTTCGATCATTCCAACCTGAAATCGATCCTCAAAAAGAACGTGAGTATTTTCCAACTGCATCAGTTATTCACACTGTGTAACTATTTAATAAATATTATAGCCAAGAATAGAGCTGGCTGCATTGCTGATTAAATGTTTTAGACAATTCTCATCCCCTGGCAGGAGAGCACATTTGTAACAAACTTCTAAAGGTCCATTTGGCAAATTGTTTTATCTTAAGCCCTAAAAATGTGCCTAACTTTTAAAATCAGCAAACCTGTTTCCTGATTTTTATTCTAAGGAAATTTTTGGACAATTGGTAATAGAGATTGTTGATCATAGCTTTATTTATAATTACCGAAAGTGGAAATAACATAATCTTCCAAGCCTAGGTAATTGATTAAATAAATTTTGGCACATCCATTAATGCAACCATCATAAACAAATATTATTATGAATTGATTTGTTGGCTGGAGTGATGCTTTGATATATGCTTAATTGAATAAAAGCAGAGTACATAGCAGTAGATCAAGTGTGATCTTCTGCTTAAAACAGTACATGGGTTTAATAGATATATGTATATACATATTATATACGTAAAATAGTATATATAGCTTATGTATATATGTATATATTTGTATATATATATATGGTCTGGACAGACATGTACCTGTTAACAATAGTTATGCAATTTCAGGTATTACATCTTTTTTTCATTTTACTTAATCTGTGTTTTCTACAATGACTGTGGGGGTTTTTTTGTTTTTATTTTTTTGGTTTTTTTTTTTAAGATTTTATTTATTTTTGAGAGAGAGATTGAGAGAGAATACGAGCCGGGGGAGGGGCAGAAGGAGAAGCAGACTCCTTGCTGAGCAGGGAGCCCGATGCAGGACTCAATTCCAGGACCCCGGGATCATGACCTGAGCCGAAGGCGGATGCTTAACGATTGAGCAACCCAGGCGCCCTACAATGATTGTGTTATTTGTGTCATAAAAAGAAATATATAGGGCTCCTGGGTGGCTCAGTCAGTTAAGCATCTGCCTTTGGCTCAAGTCATGATCCCAGGGACCTGGGATCGAGTCCCACATCAGGCTCCTTGGTCAGTGGGGAGCCTGCTTCTCCCTCTCCCTCTGTCTGCTGCTCCCCCTGCTTGTGCTCTCCCTTTCCCTCTGTCAAATAAATAAAATCTTAAAAAAAAGAAATATATACATATCAAGAAAAATTATAAAGGAGCTATTACAAGAAAAATCATACTTCTAAATTTTGTCATGAGCTCAGCAGTATATTTTCAAAATTGCCTGTTCCTACATAGTTTGTTGACAGACTGTTTATAATTCATTTATATGCCCGATATGTGCCAAACACTATGATAGAGACGTAATGGTGAGTAAGACAGACATGAAGCTAAAGAATATGAGAGGTCGACTACAGGTATACTGTAGGACTATTTAGCAGAAGCTTGTTCTGTAGAGTTTCTATGCTATTTGAAGCAGTTTTATCCTCAGTCTGGCAAGCCTCAGGGAAGCAGGAAGAAAAGAGTAGGAGTCTAAAGTCATAGCCAATTGTGATTTACCTAGATGTTCAAGAACCTGTAAGATGTTTGCATTATGAGTTTACATTATGTGGAAAGGTTAATAATGGGCTAGTTTTGAATAAGGAATCCGGTGAGAGTGGTAAAAACTTATTTTATTTCCCATATACATTTTAACAATATAAAACTCACTAAGGTTAGACATTAAGTTAGGCTAGAAAAGGAACATAACATGATTTCTCACTGGAGACACTCATCATTTGATTGGAAAACAAGATAATACATAAGTCAAAATAGAAAGAAACAGGGTACTAAACTCTATGGAATTGATTATATCAACAATAGAATTTTAGAGAAAAGCTATATTATTTTTCAGGATGTGCTTCATAAAGGAGGTAGGATTTTACCTGGGTCTTGAATGATGTGTTCCAATAAGGAAAGAGAAAGGAAACAGGAATTCTAGGCAGGAGAAAGTGTATGGAAATGTATGAGGATGGAATTATGACACAATTTTTCAAATTCCTTCAGCATTGCATTTATTTAGGTTTTTGGAATGAGAATTGTGGAATTGGAGAAACTGGAATGGTCTCTAATTTATATGGGTTAAGAATTCTAGCTAAGTTTAAAAGTGCTTCTCAGTATCTTATTTAGGTTATAGAATGTGAATTTTAAAGTTGGAAAGGATGGAAAAGTTCTGGTCCCTTATTTTCATAGAAAAAGAATTCTGGATGTGTTCCTGATACTGTGGATAGAGTTAAGCTTCTGCTTTTCTAACAGATTTCCAGGTAAAGCTGATGCTTGCCAGTCTCAGATCTTTCACTGAGTATCAAATATTTAGATCAGTGGTTCTCAAACTTGGCGCATATTAAAATTAGCTGTGGAGCTTTCAGAACATTTGATGCCTAAACCCCCCTCCCCCCCCCAGTAATGAAGAATCTGGGAGTGGGTCCCAGCTCTCAGTACTTTTTTAAAGTTTTCCAGTGATTCCAATGGGCAGCCACATTTATCAGCCCCTTGTTTCTTCAACATATTACAGATTTCTACAGCAAAATAATTCATCTTCGTACTGATCTTTGGCATAGAGAAAATACTATTCTCTCTTTATGAAGGTTAGAAAATTAGTAGCATATGAAAGTTTTGAACCATTACTAGAATTTAATGATCATTATGTGTTTGGAAAAGATTTTTATAAAACAATTACATTTTTAAAAAGAAGCTAAAAATGGAAAGTTCAATATAATCTAGGTAATTCATTCAGAAACCTCATTGCTGGGTATTGTTAGATGACAGATGCTATTAAACCTGTAACAGAAGCAAACAACCCTCATAACATCAGGCTTTCACCCCTAGTGGAAGTACAGAATAACAAAATACAAATCACAGAACAAAAATACACAAGATAGACATGAATATGACTGAACTCATGTTTTGCTTGCCTCCTTGACCTCATAATCCTGAATCAGTGTCAGCTTCAAAAAGCTGGTTTTTAAGACCTTGCACCTGTATTTTCATAGTGTTCAAGTTAAATTGATGATAACATTTGAGAGGCCTTTATACACAAAGTGGAATTAATTGAGCAAGAGTTTGAGTTGTTAAGCAAGTTCTATAGAAACATTTCTAGAGATGCACTGAGAGGTAAGTTGAGCAAACAGTGAATCGGGTATAGTTCCAGATGTCTCTCCCTGAAGACAGTTCTACAATTATTTGGTGAAATGTTTTATTTATTAAATATTTATTATTTATTACTCTATATTTTGGCTGAAATAAATTGGAGGTTAGGACACTGTGGAGAAGATAGTCATAAAGAATTGGTAGGGTATACTTGGGTATTGACCTACCCTAAGGGTGAGCCATGGAATTACGTACCAATATCTATGGTTCTTTAAAAATATGATGCTAAATGCTATATTAATAAGTCAAAACTGTTATATCGTTGTTCCATCCTCTTTTCTTTTCAAGTTGACTTTGGTAAATTCTGGGTGTAGTTCCCTGTCACTTCATTTATAATAAGTAAAATGCTATTCCATGTCATTATGCCTTGGCCATTTTCACTCCTAGACAGGAGTGAAATCCAATAAATTTCCTCATTTGACTTTTTTTTTCCCCAGGCAAGCAGCATTGGGGGGCAAGATTATAGAGATAAGATAGAAATTATATGAGAAACCATATCTACTTTAGTGTTCTCTTACCCTATAATGCTTTATCATTGATTTAAAAATAATATTTCCATTGATAAGAATTTTCCATAGGAAAAAATTCTCCCTAGGAGTAGAATAATAAAAGGTTTCTAAAAGAACTTGATTATGTTCGTGGAATGTAGGACTTTTGAACACAATAGTCATAGAAATAATTCATGAACAACTTTCCAGTATGTGAATCACTGGCAACTGTGAAATCAATACAGGGTATTTTAACAGGCAATTTTCTACTGATACACAAGATACTAGAATAAGGAATATCGGAGTACATTCCTTAAAGTAAGCGTGAGTGTGATTTTTGAGCAAATTCTGTTTTGGTTGTTGATTTATGTATAATTGGTATAGGCCACTGTGAACTCGGTTTGAAGGTAGAGCAGCTCAGTTGCCAGACACCACTGCCTTAATTAACCCCTCTGCAGCTCTCCCCTGTTCCGAGTTTCAAACTCTCTTCTGCAGAGTCTTGGGAAAGTCTTGCAACACGTACATGAATTTCCCCAACTTCAGAACGCTTCCAAAGACTGGCGTAATGAAGAGAATCTCCAGTCATGGATAGGGAAAAAAATAAAAACTTGGCTTGTTTTTAAAAGAGGCTACACAGTGGCTGGTTCAATCACCAATGGCAGTTATTGCTCATGAAAAAGGAAACTAGGTTACTTTGAGGCAGATTATTTACCCCCACCCAGAAAAGAGTACTGGCTTAATTAAGCCCATCCCAGTTTTTAGTTTATGTCAAAACATATGCATTTACAAGTAGCAATATCTTAATCTAACAGAAGACAGTATGTACTCACTAGTGACAACTGAAAGTATTAACTAGGAATATTATCTCCATATATATCTACAAAATGTAGAGCATATAACTGAATATTTAGTACCATTGTAGTAGTCACTGTAGCTCTAAGATTTGTCTTAAATTTGTAATATGTCTAGGTTCACAGAAAATAGCTCATTTACCGAGTAGAGGAGAACCAAATGCTCTTGGGTTGTCTCTTTATATCATCAAATAATTTAAACATGCAGAAAAATATAGGGAATAATACAAAAAATACTCTTGTATCCATCACCTAGCTTTGTCAAATCTTAACATTTTGTCACATTTGCTTCAGATCTTTTATTTTTAAGAAATAAAACATTACATATCCAGTTGAATTTTTCTACATTTCCCTCTTTGATTCCACACACTTGAAAAGGAATTACTTTAATTAAATTTCTTTTTTTAAATTAAGTTTCTTGATGATCATTCCCATGCAGTTCATCTTTTTTATACATACATATGTTTCCATAGTTTACATATACTGTTGTACAATTTTGTGTATTTCATGTAAATGATA